TGGAGTAAGGTTATGTCAAGTTCTTTGGCTTGGTGTTGCTTCCGGATCAGGCTGCTTTTGTAGCCTTCTTCGTCGGTCTCGAGTTGCTCGTTGGTTGGGATTGCTTTATTTCAGTTTCTGCTCTGGGTTATTGGGTACTCGGTTCTGGTTTGCTTTAGGTGCTGGCCTGGTCCTTCTTCTTCAACTTCAGTCAGGTCTATTTGGTGAAAAGTTCTTGGTCTTGGTGTCTGAGCTCGTCTCTGGCTGTGCCCTTCTTTTGTTGCGGTTTTGGTCTCTTGAGCTTCATTGCTCGCTAGGTCCGCTTGTCTGGTTCCGCTTTTTGTGATAGGATGTTGTTGTGGAGATATCTACTGCCTTTCCCGTTGCCTTGGTAATGGATTAGGTATCAAGTCGAAGCAGTGGCGTCGGTTTCCAGCTTTGCTCTTGCGAGGAGGTGGCTTGTTGGAGTCTGTAGGTGGCTTTAGCTAGCTTGCGACTGTCCGCGTGTTAGAGTTGGCTTCCTTCTTTAGCGGTTTCCCAGCAGTGGTCTTGGCTTTGCCTTGAGCTTAGTGTGCGTGTTGCTTCGAGGATTGTGATTTTTGGAGCTTTGACCCTTCCAAAATCCCCTGTAACATTTTCTATGGTTCTTCATGCTCATAGAGTCATGAGCTTGTGATGGAGGAAGAAGCAATGGTGCAAGAACAGTCGTCCTTGGAGAGCCAGTTAGCTTCATTGAAAACCCAAATTAGCACTCTGACTTCGATAAGTAGCTGAGCAGCGGGCTAAGGTGACTGTATTTTTGCTGCTCTAGGGGGAATTTGTTGAAAATGAAGAATATCATGTTGGTATATGATTCCCCTGCAGGTTGATGCCTTACAGAAGATTCATGATGAGTCTCTTGCAGAACTCAAGTTGATACACAGACAAGTGGTTATGTCACTGACCAGGAAAAATGCCTGCAGAAGCTTAGTGACATGAGAAAAAGAAACTGGAAATTGAGGTACTATCTCTCTCGTGTTTTGTGACTTTTGTGGTGTCTAGTTTTTACGAAGCTACAAGCCATGCTTGTCTCTTTTTTACCTACCAGTCTGATTTATGTTGCTCTTGCACTTTTGTATACAAATGTTATCAGTCGTATTCACTAGTCTTTCCTATTGAAAGTTCAGTCATTGCGTAGTCTCAATTGAGTTGGGGATGCTTCAGTGAAGTGGTATTAAATATATAAAATAAGACTTTCTTGTAACGTGATTTTGATACTCTCTTTTTTTTTTTGTTGGTAAGAAGTTCCACAAGAACATAGTTTTCTAAAACTTCCGCATGTCAAAGAATATACTTTTCTTGAGATTTTTGCTTCCATTTTTTTATAGGTAGTAAGGATGGAGACGAATCACAAGGATTGTTCCGTTTAGGTAGACGAACTTGTTGAGAACCATACATGGATAGCATCTGAAAAGCAACTTTTCGGAAAAAGAGGGACAGATTATGATTTTGAATCTTGTGATCCTTTTGTAGCTTGAGAAAAACTTGAAAAGCTCCAGCTCCAGTCAGATCAATCAAGGTAATTATGTGTTTGAGTATTAACGGTTATCTTTATGCAACCTACATTGTCCGCCATATAACATGTTTGAGTATTAACCGTTATCTTTATGCAACCCTCATGAAGCTTGGAAAAAAGGGTGAACGAGAAGGTGATGGCAATTTTTGAAAAAGCAGAAGATGAATTCAATGCTCTGATCTCCAAGAAAAATACAATCGAGGTCAGAACTCAGCGGAGGACAAAGATCTCTTCTTGCGCTAACGCTAATCTTGGCGCTGCTTCTCTTTAAAGCGGTTCCTCTTTATGTATTAGACGAGGTACATACACCTCTGCTTTTACATTCCCAGATTTCTCTGTTCCCAATTGATTTGTCAAAAGTTCTCGGTAATGCATCTTTAGTAGATAAACTGATTCGCGTAACAATCAACGATTCTGAATTGTTCAGGTTGATGCAGCGCTTGATCTAAGTCACACAGAACATAGGAAGAATGATAAAAGCCCATTTCCCGCACTCGCAGGTCGAAATCTCTATCTCTATCTCAACCACTTTATCCTGTTTACTTAAAAATCCAATTTTGCTGATATTGTAAAGGTCGATTCTTGAACAGTTTATCTTGGTTTCTCTAAAAGAAGGAATGTTCAACCATGCCAATGATCTAAAAGAAGGTTGGTTGATGGAGTTTCAACAGTCGAAAGGACAGTAACAAAGAAGACCAAGTGATCTACTTGATACCTCAATCGAATCATATATTAATCACGCTTAATGTTACTTGTCTATATTTTTTACTTGGAATGCTGACCTCAAGGATTAACGAGAGAATACACAAACTAGTGGTTTAATGTTAGAAATTCAGAATTCAAATTCTGATATGAACCAACATAAAGATGGACGATATATTATGACATGCCTGCACGCATATAACTCGATACTTTCATTAAAAGACATAATTAAAGGGAAAAAATTGTAGACGAAAGACAAGAAAAAGGGGGAAAAGAGTCTAATAAAAAGACTATTCTCAAGCCAATAAACAAAGCCTCTCATACGAAAATATCTAGCAAACTTATGAAACAAAGAGTCTATCATAACGTTGGAATAGATGGTTATAATATGCTTGCACTTGGTTTTACTAAGTGCTTTTTCGAGATTTTCGAGATAGTCCGGACTATAGTTGCAGCTGCATATGTCGTTCCTGGTTTGCGACGATGATCTATATTGGTCCTTTATTTAAAGTAGCTCACGATATAGGTCTGTAACAAACCATATTCCGCAGAAGATTAAGACCAATGGAATGCCGATAACAAACTTCTGCTCTTCCGGCGTCATCTTCTTTGATTCTAGCTAGGGCTGGAAATCTTTTCTTGGAAAAATAAAGAAACAACGTAAGTTCTTTCATTAGGCAGTGTATGTATATATACTCAACGATGGAATTAGGATAACTATGAATATTCCACAAGAGTCTTGGATTTAATTTACTAGTAATTTATATTATTACACTAAGCCTAAATTCGTCATTATTATCTTTATAAGAAAAGAAAAAATTCTCCAGATTTTCGGGTTTGTTCTCGGTTTCAACTCAACTACTCCAACGATGGATTCATTGTGTTATCCGGTTTATGTGAGTCCTGAATCTGGATTGATTCATATCACACTGAAAAATATGAATGATTTGGAGACAATTGAATATAGATAAAAGACAACATAAATATCACAGATCGTATAGAGAACTATGAATCGTATAAGAAAATGTTTATTGCGTATAGKTTCTCTCAAGATTACAGCATGTCCCCTTCCTATGGACGATTTTCCCTACTTATACGAGATTACAATCCCCCCTTTTACGCTCCCTCGTCAATCTCGTCATTAACTCTCCTTTATGTGATTGCGTACGTTACCTGAATTAGCTCTCGTCCCAATTCCCTTTCACCTCCGAGCTGGGCCGCCTTATACGAGATGGGCCAGTTTCGTGGTTGGCTATACGAATCTCATATTCCCGAATTGGCTGCTATACGAATTAATTCCTGCGAGTCGTACTCTCCGACTCTGCCTTTATACAAACTGTTCATAAGTTAAGGATTTCAGGCTATACGCAGAATCCAACACCAACAATTTGCCCCCCAAGTCTGTTAAAATTGAACTCGTGTTCCATTTTGATGGACTTAAGAAATTATTACGACCAATAACATATCTTTTTTTTGTTCGACTCCCCTTTTCCATCATTTTATATACTTGCTATACGACTACAGCTGTTCACATTAACTTTGCCGTGTTAAATCGATGATAACTCTGACTCATACGACTCTCCATATCTTGAATTCAAATCGTGTAGTTCCCATATTCCGCCTTCTCGAGAATTAAATCGTATAACTCGCGGTGCTATACGATTCCGTTTTTATGCAAAGTTTCCATATATCAAGTTTTCAAAATATTACAGATATTTTCATTTACCTTCTTTCCTTATGCGTATCCCCTCTTTTCTTTCACATATCTCGATGCAATATATAATCAAGAGATTGGCTTTCCTCCCCACCACTTGCGTTTCTTCATAACAAAAGGTGGG